GGAAGGGATTCATCACGAGGACTGAGAATGGAGTTGGAGCGAAATATGTCAAAAAAAATGTTCAATTGGAGAGTCATTCAAAACCGAGCGTGTGGCCGAGAGGTTTACATTAATATGGGGAGTGTGGATTGATATGGATTTATCCAAACGGTAGTTTTCACAAAAGTTGTGAGATAGCCTCCTCATCATCATTATTATTATGAATGTAAATTTGACAATTTGACCTCCATTTGAAAAGCTACAAGAACATGTTTTGGTGATTTGTTGATACCACAAGCAGAACCCCTTTAAAAATACATCAAGAAGGAATATGCGGTCCTAGATCTCAACTTCTTAACCCATGACACGAGCATTCCAGTCAGCTGACATGCGTGACGCAAGGCCACACACACCACGGCGCAAGCTAAGCAACAAAGCTCGGTTATATCATTTCGCATGGCAAGACTGAGGATGGGAAGGGATTCATCACGAGGACTGAGAATGGAGTTGGAGCGAAATATGTCAAAAAAAATGTTCAATTGGAGAGACATTCAAAACCGAGCGTACGGCCGAGAGGTTTACCTTAATATGGGGAGTGTGGATTGATCCAAACGGTAGTTTTCACAGAAGTTGTGACATGGCCTCCTCATCATCATTATTATTATTATGAATGTGAATTTGACAATTTGACCTCCATTTCAAAAGCTACAAGAACATGTTTTGGTGATTTGTTGATACCACAAGCAGAACCCCTTTAAAAATACATCAAGAAGGAATATGCGGTCCTAGATCTCAACTTCTTAACCCATGACACGAGCATTCCAGTCAGCTGACATGCGTGACGCAAGGCCACACACACCACGGCGCAAGCTAAGCAACAAAGCTCGGTTATATCATTTCGCATGGCAAGACTGAGGATCGCATCTTTGAGGAAATGTAAAGGAATGGTTTGGGAGGGAATGTTTGGAATGGTTTGTAAGCGTCCGCAAAAATGACTGAAAAGCTCCCTGACAAAAAAAAATGTCTATTCAAAGCACTGACGTGACAGGACTTCGAATACCCCCGGAAATCTCATTTATGTAAATGTTTTCATGCTCCCATTTGCAATGACTGCGCAATACGCGAACGTTCAAAATAATACCGTATTGAATATTTTATTTCAAAACATCGTCGCTTAAACGGCCCCAGAATCGCTGCCGATGAACGCATTTCCTGGTGACCTCCTCTTAAGAAACCGGAGACGACGTAAGGAAAGCGGCTAATCAGAGCGATGATGTCAACTTCTATTTCTTCTCCATTGTCTGCATTCGCAAGTGCGTTTGATGTCACGGACTAAACAGGATGCGATGGCCTTTTACCAATAAGGCAGACGAAAGAGGACAGTGCGGTATGGAAATGCATCCATACACACACACACACAGATTTCCATGCACAAAGATATTTGAGACTCGTGAAAAAAATGCCAAAGGATCAAGGGTGCGCGCAACATTTATAGTCCTCAGAAGATTCCTCCCTGACCAGGCTACTGCTCGGACGGGAAAAAGGGGATGTACAGGAGTCGAGCCACAACGGACATTTCCGAAAGAAAACAGGATACAGCTGCTCAAGCACTGACGGCAGACATAGTTGCTTGTATTGTATAGAGGGTGTCTTCGGAGACCAATATATCCCATTTTCTACACAAAAATGTCGCAAAGGCAATAAGGAATAATAAAAATAAAATAAAAGTCTATGTTATCTTGCCAAAACACCTTCCGACCTCTTGTCCAAACCATGTCAACTCATCATGGAGGCATTCGCACCGTGATATCAGTTCACTTACAGTTGCGGGTGGTGTTGTCCCAATCCCAGGCCTCAACGATCAAGGTATACGCTCGCTGAAGAAAGAAGACAAAAAGACAGCATTAGAGTTTGTTGATATATATATATTATATGTTGTTATATAACAGAGCAATGTGCAAAAAATATACTTTGGAGTTACAGAAATAGTCATTTTCCAAAACGGGTCACGTTATTGTAAGCATTAATTGAATTTTATGACTCACATCCGCTCACAATCTTGAAAAGATTTTGCAACAATACATATGGCAGTCATGACGACATACAAGACAGCATATCCCGTGTCTTCTATTGTGTACAGAGGAAGCTTTTTTTTTTTTTTTTGCCCCCAGAAAAGCTCAGCTTACCAATAACCATACAATGTATTGCCAGTAGGGAAAGACGGACATTGGCGTATATTTCCATGACTGGCAAAAAAAATAAAATAATAAAAATAATACATAAATAAATAAAGTCAACTCCCCTTGCACAGTGAAAACAAGAGTCAAAAACCCGAGTATCTGTTTAATGCCTACAGTGACCGGAAATTTGAATGGTGACTCTTTAAAGTGAGCAGCCAAACAGAATTTCCATTTATCCGTTCCGTTGACTTTCATTCCCCATCGAGGCTATCAAAAAGCAATGCCGCCATCTCGAAAGGTTTAATGCAACGGGGTTGAAAAGACCCGAAGCGCCCGTGCTTCAAGGGGAAACTTACTCTCACCAAATACGAGGTCCAATAAGAAGGTCACTTTGCCAATATTAGCGACAGTATGAGCGCCAAATTCATACCGGCTTTGTCCTTGCTCGTCAGACACGGAGGTCCAGTAAATAACCAGCTAATGGGATTATCTGGTTTCAGTTATGCTTTGCTCTTAACACATCATGCAATGGATTTAATATAAACACTCCCGGTGTGTTTGGAATGTCACGTAAGATGCACTGAATGAGAGGAAGGCGAGTGCGCCCAATGAGGTCACGCGAGTGTAAAAAATGGTTTCTTCAGCACAAGTTTGACAAATTTGTTTGTCTTAATATAATGGAGGGGGGGGGGAAAAAAGCGATTGTCTTATTCCCGTTTTTTTTTTTTTTGGATTAAATGGGGTTTTTTAATCCTATTTAACAGACATGAATTACCAATTTTTAATGCCTTCAAGCAGATCATCTGCATAGTCGAGTAAACAAATCAACTGGATCAAAACAGATTTTTGTGCTGCGATGAAGAAGACATGCTAACGTAGTCAAACAGAAAACATGGGGGGGGGGTGTCATGTACCTCAGCATAAAGTGTCAGTTGTCTAATTAAACATTTAGCAGGCGGGTATTCACCTCGGCTAGCAAGTTTGTTGCCTATTTTCTTACTCTCGGGACTATGTTGACATGAGGTAAAGTTACTGGGCAACTATGAAGTTTGCAGTGACGGAGCAAAATGCAGAAAATTCGACCCGCTGTCAATGGTGCGTGCTCGCGTGGGCACATGCACACTCCATAAGCGTAATCTAGCCGGTGTGCTGCAGGGCACACTGCTAGGCAACCAGATGACCTAAATAGCATTTGTTACGTCACCATTGGAGACAGTTGTAGTAGCCACAATGTGACCTCTACTGTAATGTCACTGATGGGACATTAGACCCAAGAAGAGTTTGGAGGGGGCCTTTTGGGGGGGCAGCAGTGATGCAGCTCACATACTTTGTTAGCCATCTAATTAACATCCACTGTATGAAAAAAAAAAAAAAAGGTTAAATGCAGTATCAAAAAAGAGG